AGTTGTTATACACTCTCCCGGTATCACCTTACAATCTTTACAAAGTTTTTTTTATCACTCTTCTTAGTTAAAAAGTAATGAATTTGTGATTTGTTAGAGCCACTTTTATATGTAATCAAGTGTTCATCCCTTTATTTAAACAAGGGGTTACATATGACAAAGTCATATGCCACCAAAAGGTGCAATATAGTTTTACCTTCATTATTTTGTACCTCAAAACCATAGCCCCCATGAACCCTCTCATATTCTTCATTTTCCCTTCCTACATGTCCATTTAAATCCCCACCTATAAATATTTTTTCATTTTGAAGGACTGATTGGATCAATGACTCCAAATCTTCCCAAAATTTTGTTTTAGTGGCTTCGTCTGATCCTACTTAGGCGCATACGCACTAATTATGTTCGTGGACTCATTTCCTATTATAATTTTTAAGGTTATTAATCTATCCCCCTTCCTAACCACCCTTACTCCTTGTTCCCAGCTTCCGCGGCGGAATGTATCTTGCTTAGTTTGCACTTCTAAATTTAGTGTGATTTTTTTTATGAAAGTTAACCTCTGGGCCTCAATCATTGTATAAGCATCAACTAAAAATTGGTGTAGAAGTTTTCTTCCATACAGAAAATGTGAGCTCTCTTTAACCCTCTCTTGAATCCTGCAAGCAAACCACTCTTTCATAGTTAGATATACCCGACGCTTCTTTGTTTTACCTCCTCCCTCATCAATTACTTCTTCGTCGCCAAGTTCATCATCCGATTCAACATCTGCATACACAAACTTTTCACCGGTGTATGGGATACCAAGCCTGAATCTATCTTCTCCATAAGTTAAAATCAAAGGATATTGTAAAGGAAGGTACTGCGCATGTAACTCGTATATGCGTTTAAGTTCACCATTCTGTTTTTTGACAACAATATCACGTTGTTTATTCGGTTCATCAGCATCACCAACTACAATGGTAGCAACCTCATCCGTATTTTGCATGTTGTATTGCATTCCATCCCTCATTCGATCTCCAACAATTTTCACTTTTATATTTGCATCCGTTTCATTTGCAAACCGATCTCTAGCCATCCTATAAACCTTGGCCAAATGATTGTGATTATCTAACATTTTTGCTAATTGTTCAATCAACTCAGCATCGAATTTATTCTCCATAGATGAATCGGTGCTGCATCAAAGAGAATTCTAGTTAATAAACAATGGTTTACAAATTAAAAAAGCACGAAAAAAATAATAAAAATATAATCTATGCCTCAAAAAATTGATCATGTTAGATACTTCATTTGCAGTATCATAAATGTAAAGCTGTGAAAATTTTGCTTCTGCACTGGAACGGGTAGAAGACTACCAATCCTATGATAGTTTGTACCATACAAACGAATAGCATACGGATCACGACCTCTATTAACTGATTTATCCACTTTGCCACCCATCGATGTAAAAGCAAACATTATATTATAAGCTCGAATTTGGTCCCTAAATTTCCTGCTCCTTGCATCATCGTTAGTTAATAAATCAGAAATCAATTTTGGAGGATCTTGCATTGGAGGAAGTTTGATTTTACCTTTCACACAACACAGAAAAAATTTCAGAGTCTCTTTTTTGGGAGCATTCTTTGGTGTCCTCTCGTCCAACCGCATATGTGCTCCACACGATTCACATGGATACGACGGATCACCAATATCGATATATTCTGTACGTGATGGTTATTGCAAAAAAAAATAAAATATGAAAAGTATGTCAAATAATTAGTGCAATAATATGAACATTAAGTAACATAATACCTTTACTAACTCCATATGTATCCAATCCATTGTCTTCATCATCTGTAAGTACATCTTCAATCTCTGCTATTTATTATTTTTTTATTAAACGTAAAAAGGTAAATTAGATTTTGATTAAAAAACAAATATAAAATCATCATTAAAAATACATTTATACAAATACCTTCACATGAATGTCTCTACGAACACTCGTGAATTTTTCCTTGATCCTTAGAAAAAGCAGATATTTTCTTCTTAATATGACTGCTGATTGAGAGCATACTTTTACTGTTTGTTCCTATAAAAGTAAAACCAGGAAATTATAATTACTAACAAACAAAAAATATATAATATAAAAAATATAAAAAGGCAAATTTCTCACCATAAGGAAAGTCAGTTGTAGCTGAATCCTCTACAGTTACTTCAAACAATGTTTTTCCACATTGAAAATTTTGAATACGAGTATTTGCCTGGAAAAAAATAAAATAAATCAAATGTTTACTTATATCTTTTAGTGATATAATATATCAAACTTGTGTATATATATAAGGAGGATTGATAAATTACTTACTCTTTTATTATCTAGATAAGAATTACGACTTCGTCTTGCTTTAGCAGCTTTCCGTAATTTTTGATACGTGCTCTCAATCTTGGATTCTTGAGTGGGGGTTCTAGTTGATACGGAAGATTTGGCAGCTGAAGAGTAAACACGACAATTCCCGATTATATAACTATAAAATACTCTAATGATATAGGACTAATAACAATTCAGACAAAAATTTCCAAAATTAAGAAATAATTTTTTAACCTAAAATTTTCAACATCTGAGAAAATAATTCACATCCAAAAATGTTGAAATCAAAATTTACTGAATGAAAAACTCTTTTTTTTTTCCGATCATAAAAATAAAAACAATTTAGATACATCATTGAATAATATATTACCAAGCATGATATCCGAAAAATTATTCTTTTCTTCTTCAGCAATAAAATTCTTTGTATTCATACCTATGAATTAAAAAAAAAACAAACGTGAAAAATTCAAAAAAATATATAAGAAAAATTATTTATAAAAATAATAAAATTTCTAATAATTTAAAGATGTAAATCAAAGAACATAAATAATTTTAAATTTAAAAACAATCACCCGAAGGAGCTTCATGAATGTTCACTTCCACTAAGGCATCATCACTGACTTTTTTACTTTTAATGATCAACATTCGCCTTTTTCTTGTTACGGCTGATCCTTTTCATGACTGGCAGTGGGATTTCTGTATACTTATAAAAATCAGTGATTTATTAAATAAAGTGTCAATTAATAAAAGAATATTCAAACATCAATAATAAGAAAATCAAATATATTTTGTTATATGTATTATAAATAATAACAGTAAATGTAAGTAAATCATATTTTGATACTATTTATTGAAAAAAAGAAACGAAAATAATTTTAAAGATGAATATTTATGCAAATATTTTGAAACTTTAATATGTTTAAAAATAAAATAAATATTCATAAATAAATTAATTATTTTCACAAATGAAAATAAAACATACACCTAAATAAATTTACCAAAATTATTACAAAAAGTTCATTTAAAATAAGTTCTAAATCAATATATAAAAAAAAGATTTTATAACAACAACTTTGAAAATGTAAAATTAATGAAAATAATAAGAGAATACATAGGAACCATATTTAAATGATTATTAACAGTACATATAATTAATTTAAAAACAACAACTCTACACCAAAAAAATGTAATAAAAAATAGCTAATCATACACATTAAGGAAAGTTAATAAACTGAAAATAAATTTAAGCATAATAATAAACAGAAACTTCTAACCACTAGTGTCTTTAGAGATTTGACTAATTGACTCGATTTTCCTGACATTGGCCTTTGTTCGAGACATGATATCGGAAACATCATAATCGAATGTAATATTGACGATCCCAGAAGTATCTCTATTGGACGCACCAGAGCTTTTCCTTGCATCTCGAACATTAACGGAGTCAAATTTCTTATCATCAATTGTATATAAAATTCTACATAGAGAACTTGCTTTATTTCGAGTCTTTCCATAACTATGTTTTTTCATAGTTTAAATTGGCAAAAAAAGAACAGGAAAATGAATGCAATTCTTTGCTAAAAACAAATGATAAAGCAAAGAATAATCGCATGAAAGATGATGCAATTTGAATAAAAAAGTTATAACATTGGTATTGAATGTAGTATTGAATAATTTATAACTAATTGGTAAATGGCAAAATGATGGTATGATCAAATTTATAATTGTCAGCTGAAATAAAAGATCATTGTAACCTGAATTTAGATCATCACAACAAACATCAATTCATTTTTTTAAAAATATTTTAAACTTTGCAACAACTTAACAAAATTTAAAATTCTAACATTTTAATATAATCATAAAAGATGTACAGATAATATAACTTATAAAATTTGAAACATCAAAAACATATATAAAGCAACAAACAAATAATAAAGACGTTTAACATATTGTGCCAAAAAATATTTAAAATAAATTAATGCTACAATTATATTCCTCTACATTAATAAAATTAAAAAATAATGATAGATGAAAAGATTATGTAGCTTTAAAATTTAAATTGTATATCAAAAAAATCATTCAAAATATAATTCCATATTAAATAATCTAATTATATTTTTTTTGTTGTTGTCTATTTTTTTATATGTGATTTTATTAAAGACAAATTATTAAATTATAAACTATTTACATGAATGTCTCAAATTTTTTGCCACGTTCAATTCTCTCTCTCTCTCTCTCTATATATATATATATAATAATTCCATCATATCAATATTATATAATAAAAAAGTGACGTAAGTTTAATACTCTTTTTTGTTTTAAACTAACAACCTATAATTTTTATTGAATAAAATTCATAAATTTGGAGTACTAAAAAGTAATTTTGTTCGTTCAGAATTCAAATAAATAAATAACACGGATTAAAATTCAAAACAACGTATAGGAAAACTAAAATAGTTTTCTTCAGAAAAGAAATAAATGCATTAATTGATGAAAATACAAAAGAAAATAAAAACAACCAAAAACAAAACAAACCTTAAACCAAAGTTAACAACATCTCAACTAATAATTAAATCTTAATAAAACGCAGCCACCAGAATCCAACAGCCAATTAATACATCATTACGAGTCGCTGAGGCCTTTTAAGTTCCTTGTACTTGTTTGTTTACTCACTTCTTCGAGTTGAAGTAACCAGAAATTCTCCTCTGTCAGACGATTTTGGACATAGAAACAATGGCCTACCCCATGTATGAAAATAAGGTTCAGAAAACGGAGCGGAAGACAGACCTATATCCAAGTGGATCTTAATGTTGTATTCAGATTTCCAGTACCAATTACCACGATCATCCTGATTGCAACTCCATAATTCAAACATTTTTGAATACCTGACGTACTCTGGATTGCAAACACAAATTTTCCCTTTTAAATCCAGCAACTCAATCTGTTTATTCGAGCTATTGGGACACCGAAGCCAGTCTGCTTTAACAAAACGTTGTATGACAGAGTGGGTTTTCAACAAAAGATCATTCGCCACAAGCAAATCACCAGGAAGATCATGAATATAAGTCAATGTACAAAACCTTTTAATTCTCCATACTACATGTTTTCAAATAACAAACCTCCATCAACAATGGTTGGACATCTTTTATTCACAAAATTCCAATTTTGTGTAGAAGGTGTCAACACTTGATCTACACTCCATGAAAATATTTTTCCTATCATTTGATTCGTCCACTGTTGTAAACACATCAAAACATATTCATTTGCTTGTCAACGTAAACCGAAACTACATCAAAATGTGTTGATTTCGATGGTAAAATGAGGAGGTGGAAAACATATAACCTGACCAGATGTTGGATTTAGAAGTTTGATAGTATACTTGGTTTTCAAACATATCAAGTCTGTAGTTATTGGAAGCATGGAATTGACTCCGTATTCATCAACTGTTAAAACTTCATCTGTTGAAAACCCAAAAACGTTGCCATTAAATAGGTTAACATCGACAAAAGTGATTGGATGCGGTTGATGCACTCCTTTGATATACTTGCATCCAAAAATAACAACTTCATCATTGTTTTGTGCATGAAATTCTCGAACAGACAATTGGAGAACTCTATCACTAAACATTTTCTTCCAGATAGGGCTAACACTCTTGCATCTGGCAAAACTAGACGAATCTAATCTCATCATAATACTACGAATCAAATCACATAGTATCTGATTAATCCTATCAATTCCTCGAGAAACTACTTTATTGGATTCGGAAAGAGTGTCAGATACACGTTTCCGATGAGTATCAAGAACAGAAGATATCGTCATCAATATAGAAGTCTAGAAAAAAAAAAACTCCAAAAGTGGTGAAATAAAATCAGAAGATAGGAAGAGGAATGAAAATATAGAAGTATTGTATTCGAATTACTGAAACATAAAAGAAATGATGAATCTGTGGAAGAAAAAACAGTTAAGAATCCTTATAAAGGTGAGATTGAAAGTAATAACCTGAAAAAGAAATAGAATTTGAATTCAATACAAACTTGTATAAAAGATAATGAAAAAATTGATCTCTTAAACAATTATGATAATTAAGAATCTTAATTGTTAAACAATTTTTTTGGAGTTAAAATAATCACTCCAACTGTTATATTAATCCTGAATTCGATTAAATCAAAGAATATTTTTTTTTAGTTTATAATGTTAATTATCTCGTTAAAATTATTTTTAATATTTTATACAAAATTTCTTTAAAATTATTCAACTTAAAATCACTAAACATCACTAATATTTAAATAATTAACTAAAATAGAGTCCTCAAATTAAATGAATACTAAAGTGTTTAAAATACCTTAAAACATTAAAAACTTTATACATACTATAATATAACTTTTTAACATACTCCATATATCAATCAAAAAATTATTAGAATCTTTGATTATTCTATTATCAATATAAAATCTTTAAAGAGTTATGTAAATATTTCAATTAATATATTAATCTAAATTTACCTTTAACAGTATAAAAATTTCCAACATATATTAAATTTAATGTTTGATTACTTATTATTGTTTAATTACCTTATTCCTTACATTTCCAACGTCATAATAAAATATTAATCAATGAAATTTGTAAAAAAATCCATAAATAAGAAAAATTACATAAAACAACATCTATTTTTTTTAAGGTACAAAAAGGATTAAACTATTCGAGTGCGGACATATGAAAAAGACCCTTGATCAAGAATCAAGAGCCCTTTAGCTACAAAAGAAAGGTCTCCTAAAACACGAAAGACATGACAAAGTCATCTATAATAACAATGATAACTTTAATGTAAATGGAAACCAAAAAAACACAAAACATATTGTTTGCTTACAATAGAACAACTTTTAAAACTTCCAAAAACCAAATTTATTGTACGACAACCACTTAAGATATTGCAGAACTGTGATTATAACACCAATAAGACAATCATATCATATAACATTAATAATAATCCTCCTTTCATCTATTGATCTCTCTACGTTGATCTGGAAAACCAATTTCATGCCCTTTGGAATATTCTTCTCCGCCAAAAACCCCTTTTAGATCTCCCTCAGCTATGAATTTGTTATCCATAGTTTTCTTACAAACCAATACCAAACTCGGAGTTCCATCAAAATATAAAACATCATTCTCACAGTCACTAAGTGAAAATCTTTCAATCATTTCATAAAGAATCTCCTGAAAAAATTAATGTATAATCATATATTAAACAACAATCTTATTGAAAAAAATTACAAAAATTATTAACGGTTGAATAAAACAAATATAAATAAAAAAATACTACTCATAATAATTCCTCCACCTCATGATTCAAGCACATCATCATTCATTATGCATTCGAAAGAATCATAATCAGAAGTATTCATATTAAGAAGATATACCACCACGTTTTTACCTGAGAATGTAAGAGGTAAATTTTTTTTTTTTAAAATGAACATTGAGAGTAGGATGCTTTTCAGGTTCCAACTGACTCAAAAAAACTCAAGGGGTCTACCAGGAGGTAAATTTTTGAGCCAGCCAGTGCTAGATAGTACAATGCACCCAAGGGGTATACTCAAGGGATGGACATAAATACTACCTAGTTCTCTAGTTTCACCCTTCTCTTACTTATTATTAATAAGGAAGCAAAATCATATGGCAGAGTATCGATCATACCATATTACATCATGAGTAGTTACAACGAATATAAGGAAAGGAGGATTGGTCTAAAACCAATAAGCCCTTTACATATCTAGGTAAATAAGCTAAAAGTAAGAACATCTCCGAGCAGCCTGAAGATGCAATTTTAGCCAACTTATCCGCTACAAAATTTGCTTCTCTATAAATATGCACAACTCTATAACCATTTCTAAGAATTATAGAAAGCATTTCCTGGAATACAAGATAGTATCTCCAAGGAAAATCTGATGGATTCCTCAAAGCATATGCCAAGCCTTGATTATCCGTCTGCAAACAAACATTGGGGAGTCCAAGCATTTCACATCTTCTCAAACCAAAAAAAGCCCCCGCCACCTTTGCCATATAGCTATCTCCGCCTCCAAGATATCCGCTTTCGCCATAAACAAAAAGATCCCTCTCTCCTCGAATGACAAAACCATACACCGCATCACCCAGTATAGATGCACCATCTGAGTTTAGCACAAAAGAATTTGGACTAGGAGGAGACCACATAACCTCTTGACAAGCAGGCCGCGGCTTCTTAGCTAAAAACACACCAAAGAATTTTTCAAAGAAATCCTTTTATGTCAAACTAGCAACCTTCACATCATGCACCTTCAAAAGCAAACCGACGTGTTCTTTTATTGCCATCCTGGACACTTCCATAACACTACCTTCAAATATCGCCTAGTTACGTTCCTTCCACGTTTCCCAAATGATAATCATTGGCATAAGAACATGGAAAATTCCATGAGCCAATTTTTTATCCCCCCTTCGCCACCACCTATGAAACATAGAGGCCAAAGAAACACACCCAACTACCTTGATACCCATCAAACCAGTAAAAATATTCCACACTTCCTTAACCTTGAAACACCGAATAAATATATGCTCAATACTTTCAGAATGCTTTTTACAGAAAGGGCAATAGAAGGCAATATTTGCAACCCCATGCGGCTTAAAATATCTGGGAAAGGCAATAACTTATTATGCAATCTCCATATAAAGAAAGAGGCTCTTAAAGGTACTTGCTTTGTCCAAACTTTCCACATCCCGTCCTCCTCTGCGCGCCTGTTTCGCAGGATCTCATAAGAAGTCTTGACCGAGAAATCTCCTTGGGGGGATGGTTGCCACACTAACATATCATTACCTTCACGAAAATCCTGCTCAAAATTTTCAAGAAAATTTCTAACATGGTTAGCAAGAACATTCTGAAATTTAACTTGTTGTCAAAGAATTCCCGAATGGTAAGCTCCGGCAAAGGTGGTTTTTGTTGATCAACATCCCAAATCACCCCAAAATCCACCCAATTATCAAGCCAGAACGAGCTCTCCCCTCTTTGGACTATAATTTTTGAATGATCCGCAGCTACTCGGTGAACTTTTAAGATGCGCAACCAAGAAGTTTTTTTCCTTGCAGTGTGAGACAGAGAAGCCATGAATTTGCTCCACAACCCCCTTTTTGTCTTGAACTTCCACCACTATTTCATCATCAAAGCATCAATCATTTTTTGGAAGTCTCTAATACCCAAACCATTTTCGAAAGTTGGATACGTAAGCCTCTCCCAAGATCTCCAATGCCGCATATTCTCATCATGAACTCCATTCCATAAAAACCTTTGGCATTTTTTTCTCAATTTCTCGCAATATGGCTTTAGGAGGGGGAATGGCTGAAAAAACATGTTGGTATTGAGGACAATACATGTTTAATCAACACTAATCGACCTCCCGGACTTAGCAACCAATTCTTCCAGCTTAAAATTTTTCCATCAATGGCATCCAACAGAAATTGGAATGTCGCAGCGTTGTGCCTTCCATGGAATAGGTGACACCCCAGATACACAAAAGGTAGGGTACCTTTTTGAATACCTAAAGTGTGATTAATGATTCCAATTCTTCTAGCTTGGCAGTTTTTGGCCACCAAAAATGAACTTTTCAAGCGATAGACTTTCTGCCCCGAAGCTTTTTCATACATAGATAGAAAGTCATTGACCTTAACAAGAGATTTTTTCAGCCCCCTAGTAATAACCACCAGATCATCAGCAAAAGCTAAATGAGAAACCACAAGAGATCTACTAGGCGTACCATACGCTGCGATCGCACCACCTGCCACTAAACTTTTCAACTTTCTTGTCATAGCTTCAGAAACAATAATGAAAAGATAGGGGGACAAGGGGTCACCCTGTTTAATACCCCTAGAAGACTGGAAAAAACCTACCGGACTTCCATTAAGTAGAATTGAGAACCAACTACTAGGAAGATTGTTCATAATCATCAAAACAAAACCATGTGGAAAATCGAATTTGAGCAATACACTCTCCAGAAAATCCCATTTGACACGGTCAAACGCTTTCATCATATCCAACTTAAGGATCATATTACTACCAACAACATCTCGGTCCAGAAATCGGCATAAATCTTGAGCAAGCATTACATTATCCATGATGTCTCTTCCTTCCAAAAAAGCTAACTGCTCCTCAGAAATCAGCTTAGGCAAAACCATCTTTAACCTTTCCGTTAGTACTTTAGTGAAAATCTTATTCAAGAAATTACAAAGGCTGATTGGCCTATAATCTGAAAAAGTACTAACCGAAATCTTCTTCGGAATGAGAGTAATTAAAGTGCTCGCAATCGACCTAGGCAATGGAACTCCGGCAAAAAATTATTGACAAGCCTTCCACAAGTCTTGTGGGATGATGTCCCAACAACTTCTATAAAAACACCCTCCAAACCCATCCACGCCCGGCGCTGTATCATCATTTAGTTTAAATACCACGGCTTTAACCTCCTCTAAAGAAACAGGAGTCATCAAAAGATTACAATCATCAGCTTCTAAGGAGTGCGGAATGTGTTCCAGGAAAGAGAGTTGTGCAGCCTCTTCATTTAAATCGGGAGAGCCCTCATGTAGAAGTTCCTTAAAGAAGCGGATTGCCTCATGTTCTATGTCGGCCATATTTGTTAAATGCCTCTAGAAGACTGAATTTTAAAAATGCTTTGTCTCAATCTCCGTTCCTTTAATGAGGCATGAAAATATAACGTATTAGCATCCCCTTCTTTGACCCATTTAATTCTCATCTTTTGAGTCCAATAGTCATCATGCTCTTTTAGTTTTTGCAGCAAAGTAGC